AAAAAAATTTATTTTAAAGACAGATATCTTCCATCTGCTGCTTCACTCCGCAAAAGCCATAACAGCCAGGACTGGGCCAGACCAAAGTGAGGAGACAGGAGCTTCATCTAGGTCTCCCACATGGATGGCAGGGGTCCAGGCACGTGGACCATCCGCCACTGCTTTCCCAGGCCATCAGCAGGGAGCTGGATCAGAAATGGAGCAGCCAGGACTCAAACCAGTGCCCATATGGGATGTCAGAGCCACAAGCAGAGGCTTAACCTACTACACCACAGCACAGGCCCTCCAGTATCTTTAATAATTTTTTTAAAGATTTATTTATTTGGAAGTCAGAGTTACACAGAGAAAGAAGGAGAGGCAGAGAGAGAGAGAGGTCTTCCATCCGCTGGTTCACTCCCCAGTTGGCCGCAATGGGCAGAGCAGCACTGATCTGAAGCCAGGAGCAAAGAGTTTCTTTGGGGTCTCCCATGTGGGTGCAGAGGCCCAAGGCCTTGGGCCATCTTCTACTGCTTTCCCAGGCCATAGCAGAGAGCTGGATTGGAAGTGGAGCAGCCGGGACTCGAACCAGTGTCCATATGGGATGCTAGCACTGCAGGTGGTGGCTTTACCCACTACACCACAGCTCTGGCCCCTATCTTTAATAATTCTATAGGCCTCTGCTTATGGGTGGGTGGATCAGAGAAAATGAAAGGAGAGAAGGGGAGTACCTTTTCTTTTCCTCTATATAGGCTTATTTTAGTAAAGTGACTAATATATACAGTTATTGAACCAAACAATATGAGGCTTTAAAAATTTTTTATGCATGTTACCAGTTAGCTTTCCAAAATGGCCCTGGAGATCCTTGCCTGGAATTGTCCATTGTATATTTTTAAATCGTTGCTAATTTGGGCAAAGGCAGATAGTTATTTTTATTAGCTAATGTTTGTGCTTTCTACATACTAGTGTCCTGAGTAGATTATTTAATATTGTATTTTTGTTTTATTTTTCATTGACTTGATCATTAGTGAAGTTGGATATTTTCTATATATTTATTTGCTATTTGCATGTATTTAGTTTGTAAGAAAAGACAGTTTGCCTGTTTATCCATCATGGTGGACTTACAAGTGGATAATGTTCTTAAAGGAAAGTTTAGAAAAAAACTTATTTCTCCTTGTGGCTGGCGCCGTGGCTCACTAGGCTAATCCTCCACCTTGCGGCACCGGCACACCGCGTTCTAGTCCCGGTCGGGGCGCCAGATTCTGTCCCAGTTGCCCCTCTTCCAGGTCAGCTCTCTGCTGTGGCCAGGGAGTGCAGTGGAGGATGGCCCAGGTGCTTGGGCCCTGTACCCCATGGGAGACCAGGAAAAGCACCTGGCTCCTGGCTCCCGCCATCGGATCGGGTGCGCCGGTCGCAGCGTGGCGGCCATTGGAGGGTGAACCAGTGGAAAAAGGAAGACCTTTCTCTCTGTCTCTCTCTCTCACTTCCACTCTGCCTGTCAAAAAAATAAATAAATAAATAAAAAACTTATTTCTCCTTGAAAATACAGTGGCACTTCAAACCTTATTAAGATGATACCTGTTTCAGTGTCTGACTTGTTTTTTAAACTTCACTTAGATCCACACTTTGCCACTCTGAGATATTTGTTACTGTACTATTGTTTTGCATATTAAAGTAATGAAACTTTGTCTTAAACTTCTAGTTCAGAGAAATTTGTCATCATCTGAATTAGTTTCTGATGAGAATAGTAGTTACTGTGAAACTGAATTTTTAGTATTTAGTACATTAGTACAATTCGTTACTTCTGTTTTAAAGTAGTATTTTTTTTAAAGATTGAGTTCAACTCCAGTGAACAAAAGTATTGAATATTGAACTAAGCCTGGTTTATTATTTTGTCTCAGTGTTTATTTGCGTTAGCGCCTTAAGCAAATGTCTAAGAGAGAGAGGTCTTCTATCTACCGGTTTGCTCCCATACTAGCCACAACTGCCAGGGCTGAGCCAGGCCAAAGCTAGGAGCCAAGAGCTTCATCTGGGTCTCCCACGTGGGTGGCAGGGGCCCAAGCATGTGGGCCGTCTTCCACTGCTTTTCCAAGGCTATTTGCAAGGAGCTGGATTTCAAGTGGGGCAGCCGGGGCATGAATGGGTGCCCATATGGGATGTCAACATTGAAGGTTGGTGGCTTTACCTGCTACACCACAATGCAATGCCAGCCCCTAAATAGAATTCTTAACCTAAGTCATTTATCTCATCTATAAAATAGTTAATAATAGTACCTACTTTATATACTTTGATTAATGTTTGAAATATAGTATAAAAATGTTTATCATAGTGTTTGGCCCCCAGATATTAGCTGATGCGGTTGCTACTGAATGCTCTAAGACTATATCCAGTAGTAGCTGTCAGAATCCCAGTAGACTCTTCAGAATTAACCAGTTTTCATTCTTAAAGTAACCTGCCAGTTATGTTCTAAGCAACATAAAACTCCAGAGGTACTTCCTCCTGTGTCGGTTATAAAAGTTTAAGTAGATTTAATAAGATAATAGATTTTTCACTAATTCAGAAATGAGGTGTCTTTATGAGCCCTTGAAAATAAATAGCACATTAGTCCCATCATTTTCCTCAATGATCAGTTATTCTCCCATGATAAGTGTTTTGAATTGAGAGGTGTTTAAACAAACCAAAAAACATTTTAAATAAAAATAGTTTAGTAACAGCTTTTCCCCCTTCTCTCCTTGACAACACAGTAACAGTTCAAACTTCAGCTTTGAAATATGAGTACTTGATTAAATGATATGGTATGCCAAATTAAAATACTGGAGTTTATAAAAAATAAATGTATAGTAGTTTTAATTTAGCTGATACTTTAGTGAATATAAGATATTGGGACAGCCATTCGGCCCTGTGGTTAACACACCTGTGAAAACACCTCTGTTGGTGGCCAACACTGTGGCACAGTGGGTTAAGCTGCCATCTGCACTGCCAGCATCCTATGTGTGTGCTGATTCCTGTTGTGGCTGCTCTACTTCCAGCCTAGCTCCTTGCTAGTGCATGAGGGAAGGAGACCCAGGTGAGGCTCCTGGCTCCTGGCTTTGGCCTGGCCTAGCCTTGGCCATTTGCAGCCATCTGGGGAGTAAACTAGTAAATTAGCACATGAAACATCTCTGTCTCTCCTTCTCTCTCTCTCTAACTCTGCTTTTCAAATAAAATAAAATCTTAAAAAAAAAAGGAAAGAACAAAATGCCTTTGCTGCACATGGGAGTACCTGAGTCAATTGCCAACTCTGACTCCTGATGCTAACTTCTTACTCATGTAGACTGATGACTCAAGCAGCTGGGTTCCTACCATCACTGTGGAAGACCTGGATTGAATTCCCAGCTCCTGGCTTCAACCCCATCTGTTGTGGTCATTTTGAGAGTGAACCAGCACATCAAAGTGCTCTGTCTACTTCTACCTGTCAAATAAATAAGTAAATGACACCTTATCGGGGGCCAGCGCCGTGGCTCACTTGGTTAATCCTCTGCCTGCGGCGCCAGCATCCCATAAGGTCACCGGGTTTTGTCCCGGTTGCTCCTCTTCCAGTCCAGCTCACTGCTGTGGCCCGGGAAGGCAGTGGAGGATGGCCCAAGTGCTTGGGCCCCTGCACCCACATGGGAGACCAGGAAGAAGCACCTGGCTGCTTCGGATCGGCACAGCGCTGGCCATAGCAGCCATTTGGGGAGTCAACCAACGGAAGGAAGACCTTTCTCTCTGACTCTCTCTCTCTCTCTCTCTCTCTCTGTGTCTATTACTCTACCTGTCAAATAAAGAAAAAAAAATGACACCTTATCATATTCATAGAAGGAAAGAGTAGAATGGTGGTTACTAGATACTATGACAGTAAACAGAGAACGGGAAGATGTTAATCTAAGGTTGCAAAATTTCGGTTACACAGGAGGATTAAATTCTAGTAATTTGTTGTACAATGTAGTGACTCTAATTAATAAAAATGTGCTTTATATTTCAAAATTCCAAGAAGTATATATTTTGGTATAGTTATTTATAAAGTCTAGTGATTAAGGTATCTGTGTCTCACACTGGAGCTTATGGGTTCAGTTCCTGGCTCTGGCTCCTGACTACAGCTTCCTGGCTTGAGTTTGTAGTTCCCAGCTTCACTGTTGTCCAACCTGATCATCGTGGACATTGGAGGAGAAAACCAGTGGATATGATGTCTCTCTTTCTCTCCCTCTCCCTCTCTTTCTCCCACTCAAAAAGAAGGAAGACAAAGAATACAATTTTTTTCTTTTTTTATTTCTTTTTTATTTTTTTGACAGGCAGAGTGAACAGTGAGAGAGAGACAGAGAGAAAGGTCTTCCTTTACCATTGGTTCACCCTCCAATGGCCGCTGCGGCCAGCGCACTGCGGCAGGCACACTGCGCTGATCTGAAGCCAGGAGCCAGGTGCTTCTCCTGGTCTCCCATGGGGTACAGGGCCCAAGGACTTGGGCCATCCTCCACTGCACTCCTGGGCTACAGCAGAGAGCTGGCCTGGAAGAGGGGCAACCGGGACAGAATCCGGCGCCCCGACCGGGACTAGAACCTGGTGTGCCGGTGCCGCAGGTGGAGGATTAGCCTATTGAGCCACGTCACCGGCCTAAGAATACATTTTAAATGTTCTTACCACTAAGGGAAATGGTGATAGATAAATTAATTAGCCTTATTTAATCATTCCACAACGTATAATAATCAGCTACTTAATATGTGGCTACTGTGGGCTATGTATTTTACTAAGTATTTAAAATATATTTATTTTTGCTAATATCATCTATAAATATGTACTTTATAAACAATGCAAATAATATGAAATTATATTATCCTTGCATCATAATCATTGTCTTCATTATATAAATATTTTACTTAATTATTTTGTGGAATAATTGATCATAAAAATTCTCTGATTAGGGGATATGTAACTACATATTTTTCTCTTTCCCAAAGTTTAAGAATCTTAACTATTACATTGATTAATAATTCTTTCCTTTGTTGCAGAACTAAGAGAGTAAATGGGTCCAGTAATTGGAATGACTCCAGATAAGAGAGCTGAAACCCCAGGAGCTGAAAAGTTTGCAGGATTAAGCCAGATTTACAAAATGGGAAGTTTGCCTGAAGCTGTTGATGCTGCCAGGCCAAAGGCCACTCTAGTGGACAGTGAGTCAGCTGATGATGAACTGACAAACTTGAACTGGCTTCATGAAAGTACTAATCTTCTGACAAACTTCAGCCTTGGAAGTGAGGGTCTTCCAATTGTTAGTCCATTGTATGACATTGAGGGAGATGACGTGCCATCCTTTGGACCATCCTGCTACCAGAACCCAGAAAAAAAATCAGCAACTTCAAAGCCCCCATACTCCTTTAGTCTTCTCATTTATATGGCTATTGAACACTCTCCAAATAAATGTTTGCCTGTCAAAGAAATTTATAACTGGATTTTGGACCGCTTCCCATATTTTGCTACTGCACCAACAGGCTGGAAGAATTCTGTTCGACATAATCTGTCCCTGAATAAATGTTTTCAGAAAGTGGAAAGAAGCCATGGCAAGGTCAGTGTTTATGAATGTTGCTATATTTGGTGAGGTAGGGGAATTAACACAGAGCCCTTAAAATATGGAGAAATCAAAGACAAAAAGTAGTCATGTCAAATTACTTTTCGCTTGGGCTTAATTATATTAGTTGTTCATTTGTTTTCATTTGAGATGTTTTAAAATTTCTTAAATATTGATAGAAACCTAGCAGAATTATGTTCAGTCTACCATAAAAATACATAGATTAGTCTTTTTAATGTTTCAATTTCTTAGTTTCTGCAGTGTTTCTGTAACTATATCAGTACATGATTCCTATTTACACAATATGATGATCTGCCTTAAAATCAGAATGTAGACCATTTACATTAATGTAATTAATGTGGTTGGGTTTAAATATATATATATAAAAATCTTCAACTTTCGTAGTCTACCTTCAAATAATGTTGACTTTTTACAGCAAAAACGTTATCTAGTTTGTGATACCTTATACCTTATTTGGATCAATTCTTTTTGCCTAGAGCAGTTTATTAACATATTTCATAGTTCAGATCTGCTATCTATGATTTTTAAAATTTTCATTTATATTTTTTCTGCAAATCATTTATATATTTTCTGAAAGACAGATGGACAGACTGAGATACAGAGAGACATCTCCCATCCAAATGCCAGCAACAACTGGGGCTGGGCAAAGCTAGGCCTGTAACTGTAACTGAATCCAGGTCTCCCACATGAGTGGGAGGGACTCAAGTATTTGCAACATCTTCTGTTGCCTTCCCAGGCATATTACAGGAAGCTGGATCAAAAGTGGAACCAGAACTTACCCAGTGCCTCTGATATGGAATGTGGGCATCTCAAGAAACAAATGTTACTTGTTTTTTGTTTTATGTTTTGGTTTAGTTTGGTTTGGTTACCTTTTTATGAGGGGGCAGGTATAGAATTCTAGATTGACAGTTGCTGTTTTTCAGTACTTTAATGACATTATTTTCTTTCTTTTTTTTTTTTTTTTTTGTATCTTAATGTTTGCTTTATCTTGTCAATGATAATTTTGGAAAATATGCCCACAAATTGTTATTATACCTTCTTCAGGGGTCTTGTCTTTATATAGTTAAATATAGAGAATAAGGTGAGATACTGAAAATGATTATAAAATCTGGACCACAGGAGCAGATATTTAGCTAGTTGTTAAGGCACTGGCTAGGATTTTCCCACCCCACATCCCAAATCCCACAGGCATGAATTTTATCCCTGGCTCCAACTCCTGACTCTAGCTTCCTGTCAGTGTGGATCCAGGGAGGTGGTTTTGATGCATCAAGTAATGGGTTTCTTGATACCCATGTGGGAGACCTGGATTGAGTTTTAGGTTTCTGGTTTTGACTTGGATCTGTCCCAACCATCTTGGGTATTTGGGAAGTTGAATCAATGGGTAGCAAGTCTCTACCTTGTTTCTCTCTTTGTCTACCTGTCAGTCTCTTTCTCTTTCAACATCTCTAATGAATGAATGAATTTAAAAGTTTAAAAATCTGGAACTTCATGACTAATCTTGGAGTCTCAGTTTTGGTATTCCATATCTGAATGAGGTGTGTCCCTGTTACTCTCACAACCTCAGTTTCCTCATCTGTACAATGAGGTTCACAGTCACCTTGTGAGCAACAGATGAGGTAAGGCTGCAAAAGCATTTTGTAAACCTGAAAGTGGTTTTGTATATTATTGTAATTAAAGGAAAACATTGGATGTGATCAATTATGAGTAAACCAAACTCTGATAATGACGTTATTTTCTTCTAATGAGAAATTTGCTGTCATTCTTTATTCTTCTATATATAATGTTTACTGGCTATCTTAAAGATTTTTTTCTCTTTATCACTGCTTTTTAGCATTTTGACTATGAGGGGCCAAGGTGTGTTTTGTGGTGTTTTTAAATTGTGTTTTGAAAGACAATGTATAATCTTTCATTAAATCAGGAATTGTTTACTCATTATCTCCTGAAGTGTTTCTTCTGCATCACCTCCTATTTCTAGTACTCCAAGTAAAAATATATTAGACCATTTGCTATTATCATATCTCTTGGTTGCTCTGCCCTTCCCCCCACTCTTTTTTCTCTTTGTTTTTGTATAATTTCCATTGATCTTTCTACACGTTCACTCTTTCTCTATTGTGCCAAGCCCAATGAAGGACTTCATCATATTTTTCATTTCTGTTATTTTAATTTGCCTTTTTAAAACATTTTCCATCTCTCTGATAAAATTCCCCCACTCGATCCATAACCATACAAGTACAATACTTATAATGTCTATCTGATAGGTTCAATGTCTGATACATCTGGAAGTCTTATTTTAACTTTTTTATCTCTTAGTGTGTATTTCATAATTTTGAATTGAATGTGAGACATTGTTTATGAAGGAGGAGCAGACTAAGGTAAATAAAATTACCATCCAGAAACACTCTCCTACTTCTCTCACGTTGTTAGTGTGAACAAGTATTGGTCAGTCTAGTTAGCAAGCATATAGAGTTTGAATATTTTGGTTTCCAGTTATCTTTTGTCCACCATAGTCTTTTTTTTTTTTTAAGACTTATTTATTTTATTTGAAAGTCAAAGTTACAGAGAGGAGAGGCAGAGAGGGAGAGAGAGGGCTTCCATCCTCTGGTTCACTCCTCAATTGCCCGCAATGGCCAGAGCTGAGCTGATCTGAAGCCAGGTGCCAGGAGCTTCTTTATGGTCTCCCACGTGGATGCAGGGGCCCAAGGGCTTGGGCCATCTTCTACTGCTTTCCCAGGCTACAGAAGAGAGATGGATTGGAAGTAGAGCAGCCGGGACTCAAACCGGCACCCTATGGGATGCTGGCACTGCAGGCAGCAGCTTTATCCGCTATGCCACAGAGCTGGCCCCTGTCCACCGTAGTCTTTAGAGTCCTACAAAGATAGATGACCAATACTTGTGCATAGTATGAGACCTGAAGTTTCAGGTGTTTTGTATCAGCATTCCTGCTACACCTGCATGTTTCATAGCTTGTGCACATTTAGAGTAAAGAGAGAGGTAGGATATCTATTCACTCTTATACCTCCCACATTTTTTTTTTTTTATTTGACAGATAGACAGTGAGAGAGAGAGAGACAGAGAGAAAGGTCTTCCTTTCGTTCACCCCCCAAATGACTGCCACAGCCGGAGCTATGCTGATCCGAAGCCAGGAGCCAGGTGCTTCCCTCCCAATCTCCCATGCGGGTACAGGGGCCAAGCACTTGGGCCATCCTCCACTGCCTTCCTGGGACGCAGCAGAGAGCTGGACTGGAAGAGGAGCAACCGGGACTAGAACCCGGCGCCCATATGGGATGCCGGCACCACAGGCGGAGAATTAACCTAGTGAGCCACAGCGCCAGCCCTATACACCTCCCACATTAATAAGTAGATGACTGTTGTTTAACTGTGCAAGGCTCTTGGAAGGGGCAGGATAGGTTTCTTGTTTCTTCTTTTCCAGTTGTAATCTTAAACAGGCTGTGTTTCTCAAAGAGGAGGCTTTTCTTGTCTCCTCCAAGAGTAGACAGGCTTTCCAGCTACTCAGAGTCTAGAACTGTACTCTTCAATAACCAGCTATCCACATGTGGCTAGTGACATATTATACAGCACAGATTTAGGGTAGCTCTGTCGTAGATAGTCCTGTTGAACTCTATTCTAGAGTTCAGACCAATTTCCTGTTCATTCTCACTGTGATAGGTAAACTCTGCCTAGTATCACTGGGAGGTTGTGGGCAAAGTGAGCAACCACTCCCTTTCTCAGTAGCAATAGATCACTATAAAATTGTGGAATATGGACATGAGCAGATTTCTTATCTTTCTTAATGACTCATAGCACAGTGTCAGGGGAATATGAGGATAGCTGGGTTTTAAACTTCTATCAGCAGTAGCCATCCTTTACCTGAGCTTATAATGAGGTCGATATTTTGCCTCTCCCTCAGTCAGTAATAGGCAGCTGTATATTGTATTAAAGAAGAGTCCAGGGTGCTGCCAGTTTGTGCCTGTCATACAGCACTTGCTTTCTACCTTGTTTATTCCGGGCCCAGAGCATGTGTGAGTTATGCCTGATATCCTTACTACAGCCTTGGCATCATCTGTCTATCTGTATTCCTCTATCAGGGTGTCTTCCTTAGGTCTCCTGACCTGTCTACAGCCTTCTTCCAGAGCACCAGATGGAGCCCATGGAAAAAGAGCTGGCCAGTGGATTCAGACTCTTTTTCCTTTCCAAGAATGCGGCTGGTGCCGCGGCTCACTAGGCTAATCCTCTGCCTGCGGCACCGGCACCCAGGATTCTGTCCCGGTTGCTCCTCTTCCAGTCCAGCTCTCTTTTGTGGCCCAGGTCTTTGGGCCCTGCACCAGCATGGGAGACCAGGGGGAAGCACCTGGCTCCTGGCTTCGGGTCGGCGCAGCGCGCCAGCTGGCAGCCATAGCAGCCACGTGGGGGTGAACCAATGGAAAAAGAAAGACCTTTCTGTCTGTCTGTCTCTCTCACTGTCTAACTCTACCTGTCCAAAAAAAGAAGAATGCTGGTGATCCTTAAACCATCACACTAGTTCACTCTTGGTTTAAGAATTTGTTAAAAATGTCAGTAGTTTTTTTCTTACCTTCTTTTATGATTACCACTTCTGTGCTCTGGCAAAAGTTAAACAATTCATATGTTACATCACTCCTCATAGGGCCCTGTCATACTTTAGAATTTAGTTCATTCAGTTGCCATGTAGCAACTTAGCCTTAGCTCCTGGATGCACTCATTGAAAAACTATGATTTTGTAAATTGTTGGGTTCTTTTTCTCTTGTTAGAGTGAGTGATTTTTTCTTAATGGCTTTCTGCATCTTAAGTGAAAGCAGAACTCTCCTTAGTTAGAATTTTTAAAAGAGCAGGTAATTATATTTTTAATGACTGAAGGATTTTCTGGATGAATACTATTCAAACTTGAATGTACATCTTTATCACCTGGAATCTTGTTAAAATGTAGGTTCTAATTCAGGAAGTCTGGAATGGAGAATGCA